CTTTGCTCAGCCCTGTACCTAAAGCAGACGACACACACAAACACACGCACGCACGCACACCAAATGCACGTGTGCAGGGCTAGCAGTACTCACCCAGACCAGCCAACCTGAGAAAAGGCTACGGACAGATGAGGCCTTAAAGCCCCAGCAAGCACACTCTGGCCACCACTCACCGAGGAGGCACTGCTACAAGACCTGGTGCGGCGTTTGTGGCAATGGTGGGCATGTTTGCGAGTCCGGTACGGCTCTCTATCTCTGGACCGTCGACGATGATGGGAACGTGAAGATCCATAGTAGTCCTCTCCAAAAGATGGGCTCCGCTCTTCACATCGGTATGTGTCGCTATCACGGCGCTCCCGGTACCGCCTCTGGTAGGGTAAGCGGTCGTGGCTGCCAACAGGGTGATGGGGACATTGGTCAGATAGGGCCCTTCCTCCCACCAGCCAGGTTCCTGCTATAAGGCAAGAGGTATGTGGTGAGGCCCCTGCAAAAGACTCATAAGGGTAGCCTGTTGGAGCAGAGGCAGTGAGACTGAGGGAAGTGGGTGAGGGGGAGTATATGTTTATGAAGTCCAACCTCCAGCACCTGAGCTACTGGCGGCATCCCTTCAGTGGCACAGGAGGCAGAGCGCTGGGGAGTGATCACAGTGGAGGTCCTCCAAGGGTTCCAATGCATCGGAACTCCTGTGGCCTGCTGAGGCTATAATTTTGGTCTGGGGTTGAGATAGGACTAGGGGCAAACCTCTGGAAAGTTTCTAATCCCCACTGAGGAAGGCTCAGAGGTTGGCAGAAGAGATGCTGGCCTAGCCTAGAAAATCGAGTGTGTGCCAGGAAAAGAAGTCTCAAGGACAGAGAAAGAAGGGGCAGCAAGAATGGAAGCAAACACTGAGGCCAGGGAATGCAGCTGAAATCAGGGAGGAATCCAAAGAGGACAGGGCAGTGATCTAGGTGCAGCCAAGCAGAGGCAGCAGTCACTTAAAGGAGACCAGGGCTGCCACAAGCCTCCACTGTCTCCCAGGCCCAGTGAGGGAAGGAGCCCTTCCTTTTGACCCAGTTCTCTCTCACCTTCTGGACCGAGATCTCCGGGGTGGAGGCTCCCTTCGAGATGGGTATCGCAGTCTCCCTTCGTGCTCCCGACTGTAAGACCTCCTTCTCTTCCATCGGTAGCTCAGGTATGGGTCTGGCTCAGGGGAGCGGTATCGCTTACAGTGATGCATCTAGGCCACAAGAAATGGACAGCCCTGCTAAACATGCAGCCAGCCACCTGGTTGCCTAAGCAGCCTAGGCACTCCTGAAGAAGTGGTCCATTGTTCCATTTGAGGCAGCCCCTCCAGGGGTTTATGAAGTGAAAAAGAACTCTGAGGTCACAGTGGTCAAAGAGTAGACAATAGAACAAACAAATGAACAAACAAAAAGCTGCCTCCCCAGCACAGCATCACTGATTGGCCTGATGATCTGAGCACTTGGGGAACCAGGTGAGCCAGGACAGGTGCTGAGATGGAACACAGGGCGGGGTTGGTAAGCACCATCCATCACAAGAGACAGGGAGAAAGGGAAGCCTCCTATGCTCAATTCCCTCTTGCCTTACTGTGGGGTCCTACAAAGCACCTGCTCTGTCAAGCCAGAGTCAGATGGCTGTTGGCAGGGTGCCAACACGGAGGAGCCAAGGGTGAAAGTGCTCAAGTTGAAAACCTGTGGAGGCCCTGAACTGGACCCCACTCAAAGAAGCAAGGACACAAGTTGTATGTGGAGCTACAGGCGGAAACAAGACCAGCTTTTGGAGGAAAAGGTGTACAAGGGTCTCACAAACATTCCCTAGCCCAGCTGAGGGTCTGGCCAGCCCTTGCTGGTCCATACTCGGGGTCAGCACCAGTAAAGATGCTAAGACAGAGCACCCAAGTGTTTTGCCCAACACCCATTCAGCACCATCCAGACATCTTCAGTGCCATACTGGGCAATGCTTCACCTCTAGCCAACAATACTGTCCCTCTTCTAGATCCTCTGCTCTAGAACCTTTCTCCTGCACCCATCTCAGGCTGATGTGCTCAAGGAGGCATACCAAAAGTGCCCACATCACTGTCCTTGCTCAGCAAGGACCAATATCCACTACAGGAAATTGCCAGGCTGTATCAGCCACCAGCGGAGAAAGAGAGCTATGTGAGGCCAGCTCCCTATTCCACACACCCCAAAAACTCTGACACTGCTTGCCTCCATGGGAAGGCTGGGCCAGAGACCATGGCCACCCTGACTCCCAACCCTTCACTTGGACATAGCCAACCTCCAAAGGTGGTCGGTCAGTCTTGGGTTTGCCTGACCAAGCACATTTTGGACAAACTCACTGAGACTGCCCCATCTCATGAGAAGTCTGTCAGGAAAAGAACAAAATGGAATGCGCAGAGCAGCAAGGCATATCTGACAAAACTCCTGGGAGCTTCTCTGTGATTCTAAGAAAGTCTCTGTCCTCAGTCACCCATGAGCAGGTATCTTCCCATCTACCTGGAAGTCCAGGTCCCAGCAATCCTTGGAGGTAAATACTATGTAAAATTACTCATAGCTCCTCAAGTACTTAGAATGTTGTTCTGTTTTGATGATCAGCTGACTAATGTTTCACTGTCTTCCTGCAATTACCCTGGGTCAGGTGCCCAAGCTATGAAATGAAGGCGGTATCTCACATCTCCCTAAGTGACACAGATGATGCTCCAGTGGCAAGGATAGATGCCCTGCCCATCCTTACTGGGCAGACAAAGCACCAGAGCTGGAGGCCACGGTCTAGTCCACATCAAGCCAAAGACTCCCTCCTGGGATCTAGACGATTCTTAAGTCAACACATGTTCATGTTAGAGGAAAGAGCACAGCTTCAGTGTCAGACAGATGTCCATCTGAATCTTGGCACTGCCACTTCTGTATGTGTGCCTTTTAGGCAAGTTATTAAACTACTGACCTTCAGCTTCCTCTGGCAGCTCGGGTAACCTTACAGGGTTCTGTGAGGATTACATTATGCCATCCCTTTACTAAGATGTCTAGCATATCTTTTTAGGTCAAATGCCTAACCCAAGTCTGTGCCCACAAGAGGCACTGAAGGGAGATATTCAATAATGTTAAAAAGGTTCCAGGTAGCCCAGCTGGCATGGTTCAGTGGTTGAGCATCAACCTACCAGGAGGTCAGAGTTCAATTCCCAGGCAGGGCACATGCCTGGGTTGCAGACTCAATGAGGGATGCCGGGGGTGCGTGCAGGAGGCAGCCAATCAGTGATTCTCTCTCATCATTGATGTTTCTGTCTCTCTCTGCTTCTTCCTTCCTCTCTGAAATTCTATATATATATAAAAGATTCCAGGTAACACCAAAGTCTGTGTTAAATGCCTTAAGGGCATTTTATAAGTCTCTTCCAAGGGATCATGGGAGAACTCTGGGTAGAAAACCCTACAGTGCTGGCCTCCTGACCAAGCCACTCTAGGTCTTGGTTACCATTTACTATACCTGAAAAATGCAGATAACATCTCCCAGCCAACTTGGCAAAGGAGATGATAAGCTATAAAGTACTTCACATAAGGCAATCATAGAGGAAATAACCTCTCCTTCAACACATTCTAGGCAGGTAAGTACTAGGTCTCTCTAGTGCCCCTCATTATATTCCCAGCCAGGGCTTTAGGGCCCATTTCTCTTCAATTATCTCTCTCTGAAACCCCAGCAAACAGGTTATTTAAAGAAGCTAAGGGCCACAATCATGCTCAAGAAGACTCTGCTCTACACAATGAAGGAAACCAGGGGAGATGCCAGCTTTTCTCTGAGCACAGACCTAGTCGGCTTCTCATTTGCTCTCCTGGCCAATGAACTGGGCTGACAAGAGCAGCCAGCCAGGTCAGCGGCTGCCCTCCCGGATCCAGCCACCCCAGCGCCCCACGGTTATTTTTGGCTGACGCTGCTCCACCACTGCAATTTCAAACCCGCCACCTTGCAAGCCGCCACCGAGTGAAACACTCCTTTTCAAGGGCATGGAGGAGGGAAGCTGGAAGGCCGCCAACTCCACCGCGTCAAGGGGCCTGGCTCAGGCAACTCCCACCCCAGCTCCACACCAGAGTGCCCGCACCCGGAACTACAGCACAGACGCCCGGACGGGCGCAGCTCCGGCACTGGTACTGTCAGCTGGGCCTAGCCCCTCCCCCGGGCTGGAGCGGCTCCATCAACACAATAAAACACGCGGGAGCCTGTGGCCCTCGCTCGCGGCCCTTCCTGCCGCCCCGGGTCCCGGAGATCTCAAAGCTTCGTCCCCCGTAACCGCCGCCCACGGCGGCGAGGCAAACACCGGGGCGGGCGGAGGAACGCCAGCCTGGGTCGGAATCAAACTCCAGGCCGCGAGGGGAGGAAAGTGGGACCCAGCCTCGAGCCGGGGGTAGGGGAGGGACCTGAAAGCCCCTCCAGGAGATCTAGGTAGCAACCGACCCCATTCCGCGGACAGTTGCAGGGCCGAAACGGAATCCCTTCAGGGGCCTCAGAGGCAGCGCAGGCTCGGACTCCAACACCGCGGAAACGAGAGGTCGGGGTCTATGGTGACCGCCCCCCGGGGGAAAAGCGGCGGGTCAGGGGTGAGAGGTCGGGGACCCGGGGCGTCAGGACTCGGGGCCTGCGGTGGCCAAGGAGAAGAAGGGGCAGGCCGGCACCAGCTCGGGAACCCAGGGACCTGCATCCGGCGAGCCCATCGCGCTGCGGTGGGTCTGGGACCACACTTACCGTCTCCCAGGCTCCGGCGGCGACTAGGCCCCACTTCCCGCTCCCAGCGCCTCTTCCGCTTCCGGCCCCAGCCTCCGCCCGCGGCGAGCCCGCCCCTCGCGTGACGCAGCTGTCGCCAGCCGCAGCTCGCTAGCCTGGCTGCTCTAGCTCCCGACTCGAAGGCACTGGAGGACCCGCCTTCTCCGCCCAGGTCCGTGCGAAGTCTGTAGAGACTGGTTCCGAGAAAGCCTAAGGGCACCCCTAGCCCGCCCCCTGCCGTGTCGCCATGCACGTGGGCTTCCGAGACTTGGTGAGGGAGCCGTCCCTGGCCAGCGGGCGCTCGGAGCCGAAAGGTGGAGCCACGACTTGGACCCAGGGCTCAGCCCGCTCGGCCGCCCCGACGCCGGCGGCGCACGCCCAGCTCGCGCGCAGGACGGCATTGTTACGCCGTCGCCTCCGTGAAGACCCGGCGAGCTCCGACGCCCGGGAAGGCAGTCGTAACTCCCGCTTACATGAAGGAAGAAACGAGACCACATTCTTTTTGGGGGGTGGGGGCAGTGGCAGCACGCCCAGTGCCCATAGGCCCGCCGAGCAGTGTTATGGACTCCAGAGGCGGGCCGCCGGCGAAGGAGTCTCTCCCACGAGCAACGCAGCAGGTTGGAGCCTTGTTTCTCTGGCGTAGACCCCGCGCCCTGCCGCAGTCAGGCCCCACTGGCCATTTCTCTCCGAGTCACTCGGCGACCCCGGGAGCAACAAAAACCTCCCACCCACTGCCCCGCGCTTGGTCGGGGCGGGATAACGAGGCCCCATTTCCCAGAATAGAAAACCCTAGGTCGAACCCTTCGGGAGACCTCGCGGTTTGTGAGCGTGCACTCCCCACGGCTCGCAGCAAATGACACGCCACGCCCCTCCCGGCGCCCAGGGTTTCCCCGACCCCGCAGGCGCGGTCCGAGCGGAGCCATCCCCTCCCGAGTGGCGGAGGACCCTCAAGTCCTAGGTCTCTGGCTCCCCGTTAGACGGCCCTGGCGGCGTGGCTTGAGGAGCTGCCCAATTCTCCGCCAGCTCCACCATTTTCAGCCGAAGCTAAGTAAAAACGGGATGCGTTAAGGCACCCTCAAGATCGGTTCCTAGTCCCCTGCCAACCAAATGCACCCACCCAATAGAGAGTTCTGGGGCCTTTTCAAGTGTCAGAGACGACCGAGCCCGGATGTCCCCGTCCCTAGATGTCCTCCCCCCACTCCCCTTAGCATGGCCTCCGGGGCCAGAAATTGAGTTGCCAGTTTTTGCCGGGACCCAATTCTTGGCCTGCGGTCGCGTCCACGCCACCATTTCAACCATTGAGACGAGGTGGGGAGGACCCTGTGGTGTCCCCTCCTCCCACCGCTTAGTGTTGCCACGGTTTCCATGGCTCCTGGAAGCAGAGGCTCTCAGGCTCCTATCCCGGGCGCTAAGTTCTTCTAAGGGGTAAGTCGGGTCCACCTTCCTACCAGCTCTCCCACCATCCACCATGGAGAACCCGGAAGTCCTTGCCTCCTAGTAACAAAACAGCTCTCTTTTTCTTAAGTAGAATAGGAGCAGTCTCCCTCGCCAAAGCCTGCAGTCCAACCACTGTTACGCCTGAGATTCTACCATTTAGGATTTCTCATTCCTAAAAGAGCCTGAGAAGAGACCTGGTATCTGGACTGAATGTACCTGCAGGAGACGCTGGAGCCAGGCCTGCAGGGCCAGGCGCAGAGCTGGGATGGAAAAGGGAGTCTCCATGGGGCCAGCTGAGACCCCTGGCCAGGCTCACTACACAACCTACTGCAGGAGTGGCTGCTGAAGCTCACCAGGAACGGGTCCAGCAGCTGGCAGGGCTGTGCCCACCTGTGCCAGTGACAGAGATGCAGGGGAGCCTGGGCACTGTCCTTGGGGGATCCCAAAGTTGGGTGAGGGACTCTAGGGACACCATAGTAAAGAGAATAACCAAGGGGGACAGATTAGTGCAGGGCCTCCACACAGCACATTCACATTGTAGTCTGGGTGGGAGCCCTGCTTTCACATTGGGTGAGGTGGCCCCTGTGAGCATGAGGTAAGCCAGCCTCTGTCACCAAACCCTGAAACATGCCCAAAGCCAGACAGCCCCCCTTCCCCAAGTATTAGCACTCCTCCTTGTCACAGTCTGGCTTTTTATGGGAGCATGTGAGCATTTCAGCTTCAACAAGCCCTGTCTCCACTACACATGGCTGAGCCCCTCCTGCTGGCCCAGGGCCAGCCTGGGGGGACTTGAATAACCTTATCTACCAGGCTCCTGTCAGGATGCTGAGGAGTGGAAGTGCCCAGGGCAGAGAGTTCTGTGTGTGCAAGGAGCTGTGAAAGAGGCATCTCTGCCCCAGTCCCCATCCCAACCAACAAGACAGTGTGACATCCATGCAACTTGAAATCACTGAGAATGGGGTAAGGCGATCTAGGGTCCAGGCTGTGTCCATATTGCTCTGTTTCTACTAGCATAGTTCAGGTCCAGGAGGTACAGTGCCTCTTAGTGAAGAGTTTCAGAAGGTGGCTGAGTATTGGAAAGCTGATGGGGGAGGTGGTAGTTGCATTGAAATTTAAAGAGGAGGAACTGCAGAGACTCCAGAAACATAATGAGGACTGGCTTCCCCAGGTGTATGCTCCTCCTTCCTCTCTCTATCCTCAACCCCTTCTTCCCCATGCTCTTCCCCACTGCCCTGTCTTTTCTGCAAGCCAATTAGTCTCCCTCCTCCTCAGGATGCTTTATCCTACACTTCCTCCCCTTCTTCTGCCCCTTTCTCATTATGTTCCATCATCCATTCATTTATTCACTGAGCATCTACTATGCCTGGCCCTCTTCTGTGCAGGGGAGAACAAAATTCAGGTCAGAACACGCCCTATCCCCAAGCTTATGGTCTGGGGCCACACAGTCATCAAGCTGGCAATTACAATTTAAGTGCCTAATGAGGAGAGGCACAAGGGGGCAGCAGATAGGAAGCTCCTCCCCATACTGAGGGTTTCTGGGCCTCTGAACTTTAATGAAAGATGAACAGGAGCATTTTCCAGGAGTGAAGGAACAAAGCTTTTACCAAGGCCCAGAGAGGAGAGACATGGAGGTGGGATGTACATAGTCCCTGAACCAAACGAGAGAGTGGATGAGGGGGTTACTGTGAAATGTAGGACAGGGGCCAGAGCAAGGGCTTAAGTGTCCCAGGCCCTGTCCACCTGACTTGAACTCCAGCTTAGTGACTGCCACTCCTGGCCAGTCACCTCTCCTAGTCTCTTGGGCAAATATATATGTGCACAGGCAGACAGACATATGGACACACATCCAGAGACACAGAGAAACACACCAAGGAGATGGAGAGTTGTAAGAAGCCAGGATGGAATCCTGCTGTGCTGCCGGAACCCCTACTGAAGCAAATCTGTTGATCTGGCTGGAAAGGGGGGGAGTGGGAGGAGGCGGTCTCAGCATCAGTGCCTTGCTGGCTTTGAGCCTTACAAAAGGTGGAATTGGTCTAAATCAATTTATCTCAAACTGGGGTCTCTGAGAAGGCTGTTAGCTCCTCAAGAAAGCCTGCAACTACACATTTGTAAGAAACAAAATCTTGGTTTTTGTATTTCTCAACCCAGACCCTTGAGGATTGTAGATTGTCTTCCTAGGGTCTAGATCAGGGGTGGGCAAACTTTTTGACTCGAGGGCCACAATAGGTTCTTAAACTGGACCGGAGGACCGGAACAAAAGCATGGATGGAGTGTTTGTGTGAACTAATATAAATTCAAAGTAAACATCATTACATAAAAGGGTATGGTCTTTTTTTTTCAGTTTTATTTTTTTTTCAGTTTTATTCATTTCAAACGGGCTGGAACCGGCCTGCGGGCCGTAGTTTGCCCACGGCTGGTCTAGATGGACTATTGTATGGGGTGTGCATGCTGGTTAAGTTGGGGGCCTACAGTGGACAATGTCAGCGAGAAGGCAGGGCACACAGTGACCTAGGGCTGGGCCCTCTGGGCATTCAGACTCCTGGAAGCAAATGGCACCAAGTGAGTCCTATACAAACAACAACCCAAACCAGTGTCAACTCAGGCCCCAACTCTAGGGCCTTCTTGTCCCTTAGGGACTGCCCAGGTAATTTCTCCCTTCTCCCTAGCCCGAGGGATGCCCTTCCAGGGCTCGCCTTCTTTGAGCAAGTGGGTACTTCCAGGCCCTGGGCCTGTCCAGGGGGGGTGATTTAAAATTCAACCCTGGGTCATGGGTAGGGGTCCTATGGGGAGTGGCTGATGGGAAGAGGTTCTCAGAGAGAGGGGCAGCAGCTGGATAGGATCTGGATGCTGCTTCATCAGACTGGTAGGAGGGGCTCCCAGGGCCTCCAGCATGCTCCACCTCCAGTCCCATCCCCAACCTCCAGCTCCTTCCACTCTGACACTTTGTGTCTCTACCTCAGTCTGTCTTCCTCATCATTCCCAGGATTCTATGGTCTTCACCAGGGGTCCTTAAACTTTTTAAACGGGGCCAGTTCACTGTCCCTCAGACCGATGGAGGGCCGGACTATAGTTTAAAAAAAAACTATGAAAAAATTCCTATGCACACCACGTATCTTATTTTTGAAGTAAAAAAACGAAACGGGAACAAATACAATATTTGTATTTGCATGTGGCCCGCGGGCCATAGTTTGAGGACCCCTGGTCTTCACTGTCCCCAAATTAGTGGTTGAGATTATGGATTCAAGGAGGGGGTTGGGAGGCTGAAAGAAAAAGGTAAAGGGATTAAGACGTACAAATTGCCATTTATATAAATGGTCACGGGGATGTAAAGCACAGCATATGAAATATAGTCGATACTATTATAATAACTACTAGTGGCCCAGTGCACAAATTCGTGCACATTGAAAGGAAATTAATTAGAAGAAATATTTTAATATCGCTATTTGCCTTTTCTCTATAATAGAAGTACCAACCAAATTCACGATCGACAATGACAGATCAAAACACATGCATGTGACTGACGCCAGCAAGAACTTCATATGTATTGTGCATGCACAAGTCAACTTAGCCTTTTATATGTATAGAATAAACTTGCTTAATTAGACCTGCTTTCTGATTTAGCTAAACTTTTTCCAGCCCAGTGAAGCACCCCAACTTCTCTTTCAGGTAATTGTCAGCAACACAGCAGTAAATAACAACATGAAGCAGATAATTATTGTAGGTCATGCAGGGAGAGCAAAGGGTAAAATATTTAACTATAGCAGTGTTTGACTATATTCTGTGCAGTGAGAAACCTGAAGTCATTTTCTTTTTTAAATATATTTTTGACTTAAGAGAGGAAGGGAGAGGGAGAGAGGTAGAAACATCAATGATGAGAGAGAATCATTCATTGATCGGCTGTTTTCTGCACTCCCCCTACTGGGGGTCAAGCCTGCAACCCAGGCATATGCCCTTGACTGGTATCGAACCCAGGACCTTTTAGTCCACAGGCTGATGCTCTATCCACTGAGCCAAACCCAGGTAGGGCTTGCTGAAGTCATTTTCAAGGTCCGCCATTTCTTAATTCTTTACAGTTGGGTCAAGTTTCTAAGCTTTCTAAATCTCCGTTTTCCAGCTAATGAAAAGAAAATAGGATTCCACCGACTCTCCTACCTACCTACCTACTCCAGGACTTCTGTGAGGATCAAATGAAATGAGGCATGGGAAAACGCTTCACAGACTTTTTGTTAAAGTGTAAAATGTTTGCACTTGACTATAAAGCAAGTCGTGGTCCTAGGCTGAAGAAACTGCAAGGAGGCTAATCGCTAGGGAGAGGAAGAGAGGTAGAAACGTCGATGAGAATCATTCATTGATCGGCTGCCTTCTGCACTCCCCCTACTGGGGGTCAAGCCTGCAACCCAGGCATATGCCCTTGACTGGCATTGCTATGTGATGTCATTACCTGGTGCCCACAGCAACCATTTTCAGGCTGGGCTGGGCTGTGGGCCGCATTTTGCACTATGGGGTCTCAGCAGTGTTGGCTGCAATTTGGTGGGCTGTTGCTCCGGGGTGGTGACAGGGCCTGTGTCCCACTTAGGGGAAGCTGAGTATTGCATGGTTGGCACCAGGTACATGGTGCCGTTTTTTAAGTGGCCAGTTCGCATCATGGCAGATCCTGCGTTGAGCATCTGCCCTCTGGTGGTCAGTGCACGTCATAGTGACTGGTTGGATGGTTGGAGGACACTTAGCATATTAGCCTTTTATATATATAGATATGTGGTGCCAGGTGGGATTACTTTATAAGGTATGTAAATGTCTACTTTCTGTGCTGTACACCTGAAAATAAAAAGGAAAAATAAATTTTAAGGTAAAAACTGACTGTGGGCTCAGGCACCTAAAATCTGGGCTTAAATCCTGGCCCCACATTATACTAGCTGGTGACCTTGGGAAAGTTACTCAACCTCTGTGGGCATCATCTGTAAAAACAAACAAAAAAAAAGCAAGAACAATAACAGTTTTCCTTCCCCATCAGCTGGCTGAAAAGGTGAAATTCAATAGCCCTATAACAGATTCAGTGCTGTGCTGGGCACGGCATGCAGTCATGAAACATTAACTACTACTGCACACCTCGCGTTGCTACAGGCAT